TTCTTTCTTGGCAATGGTATTTGTTGGTAAAGAGAAGGCAATGAAAAAGATAGCATCTGAAATCCAGTCACGAGACCTATAAGAGTTTGCAGAAAATAGTTTTGGTGCCGTTAGCCTGGGATGAATTACCTCAACTACCACGGGAGTGCTACTGGCCCCTTTCAATCCTAACAGCCAACTATACTTCAGGTAGATTCTAGCCAAGCTCTTTTGATTGCTAGACCTTCTGTAGAAAATAACAGATGGGCATGACAGAAGAGATCACCTGGAAGGATGAAGATGCTAACGGCATTAGTTAGTGGAATTATGATACCAGTGCTTGCTGACTGAATAGACAGACCAGTTCTTTTGTGCCATAAGATAGGATTTGCTTACAGAAAAGCTGCTACAGTTCCACACAATGTACTGAGTATACAAAGCAACAGGGGATCAGTGACACGTTAGGAAAATACACATATCTTACCCATAAGCATGTGGTGAGTTTCAAGTCCAGGGATTTCTACCCTGTTTGCTACCCTGCCCATGTTCAGCACTGTCCTTTGGACACAATACTAAAATCACCCTAGTTATTGGGGGGGGGGCTGTCTGCTGCTGTATTTTCAGAAATGAAAACAGTAATTTACTCGAGGGAATGGAAGGATGGTTTAGTCATACAGACTTGGTGATAAAGCTTATATGTTGCTATTTTATATATAATTTCCAACCTTCAAGTCCTTCTTAAAAACAATCACCTTCCTGGAACCTGTCAATATCTGGCTCATGGAAATGCGTACCTCTGAAGAATGCAGCCAAGTGTACTGCTTTGCTCATTCTGTACTGGGCTCTTTGGTACAGGCATCAGGTTTCAGCAACACCAGGGCAGGTAGAAATGCCCACAACCGCTCAAGGTCACTGATCACCAGGGACACACCGTTGATTACCTTTCCTAGTTATTCCTACGTAGTTGTTTCCCTGTCCCTCAACAGGTAAGCTATTCGTTCCTTTAAAAACGCAGGGCATTCCATTCCCCACCGTCTCATGATATTTCATATTACCTTAACCCCCTGTTCCTTGATGTTAAATTCTGCTTTCATTTAAGCTGTAATAAAGCTGCTAAAACAGTTCAGTGCTCAAAGTACTACGCAAGCCTTTGAGACTCATTCTAGAAATTATCCCCAAGCCAGCTGCTTTTTTTTTAAGATGAGGTGCTGCAATCAATATAATCCAGAGAGAGACACTAGTATCAGTGGAAGATCAAGTCTGTGGAGTTGCACATACTGTTAAGAGTGAAATACAGATGGCATGCACCTGTATCCCTTGAAAAACCTTAAGAAGTCTAGAACTTCTTTCCAACTAGCAGCACAGTTCTTATTGTGCCATGCAGGTATATTTGCTTCCTATCATTGCAATGCCCCCAACTAACTAATGGGGGGCATGCTTTGATATTTCACAACACACTTTGGACCCCCTCTGTGTGTGTGCCACTGCTGAAAAAGCTGCACCAAAATGCATGCAATGCTTGCAAAACAAGGCAGTGAAGCATGAAAGCTTTTTCCAGTGGCTCTACCACACAACACAGAAACCACAGAAATACAAGCACCTCTCAGTACAAATGCAGCTGCTACATCCTGCTTAGGCCTAATTTAACTGTAAGGCTGGCAATGTAGAAGAACTTACCCATGCAACTTTACATGCACCCAGTGTCTCGTTTAAAACAGGAATACTGTGTGTACAGATGGACATGTGCAATGTTAGCATTACAGTGGAACACCTGTCTGCACTACAGTGTTTACATCACATCATGTAAAAATGAAGGGCTTCTTCTGACTTGCTCTTCTATGACCTCAATCTGTCTGTATTGATGGAATATACAACACAATACTATCTAGGAAGGGAATTTCATTTAGCACTACTGAAAGTTGTAAAGAGGCAGATCTGAAGCAGCTTTGCAAGCATGCCTGAATAAGGCCTACTTTTCTGGGAGGCAGTACCTCTGTTTCTAAGCTATTGGACTGCAGGAGGGGCTCACAACTGGATACTTCTACCACACAAGAATATAATTCCGTATTGAAAACTAGAACCACAAGAAGCCAATAAGGCTAGAACCGTTGACCCCACATTCTATTTTTTTTGTATAAAGAATTTTTTGAATAAAGATTTATTCAGTCATCTCATGCCTGCATGTGCTGTCATACAGCACAGGTACAAGTTTACCACCTTGGTGGGCCACCACAAGGTGACACAGGCATTAGGGATGCCAGCTTCCAGGTGGGACCTGGGGAATTCCCCAGAATTACACCTCATTTCTACAGAGATCAGTTCCCCTAGGGGTAAAAAATGGATGCTTTGGCGGGAGAACGCTATGGCATTGTACCCCTCTGAAGTCCCTGTCCTCACCAAGGCTCCATCCCCAAATCTCCAGGAATTTCCCCACTTGGATCTGGCAACCCTACCCCCCATCCCTCACTGGTGCTCAGGGGTGACCTCACAACTGAAATCTTACAGATGATCCTTCATAGGGTTTTTAACCAGGTATGGAACTCAGCCACTAGTATAGCAGGATCTGCACTCAGATGACCCAGCCTTTGTTTTTAGAAACACCACTTCCTAAGTAGAGTGGAACCTTTCAAATCCTTAGGATCCAACGTCCAAAGAGCCAGTGCTGCTAAAATCATAGGGTTGGAAGAGACCTCCAGGGTCATCTAGTCCAAGCTTGGACATCTCTATGTGCTACTATCCAGTGGCTTGGCACCCAGCAATTAGGTGCCTGGGTGCTTCCTTCAAGCTTTGAAGACTTAATTCATCACCAGCCCTCTCATTACGCCGGCTGGTTTGTAGATCCCTGGTCTTCCCCTGCAACAGTTCAATAACTCATAAGAATACAGGTGCAGCCCCGCTGGAGCACACCGGTGGTCCAGCAACCTATTTCACACAGTGGTCAACCAGTTGCCCTGATGAGCCACCAAAAAGGGTGCAGAAGCCAAAGCCTTCTGCTGATGTTGCCTCCAGGTATTCAGGGATTAGGTGCCTCTGAGTATGGAGGTTTCCTTTAGTTACCATAACTAATAGTCACTAGAGGCCTACACTCCATGTATTTGTCAACTCTTTTAAAAGCCATCCATGTTTATGGTCATCACTGCAGACAGTGGCAGTGAATCCTAAAATGTAACTATTTGTTGAGGGGAAAATTCATAGCCCATCAACTTAATTGGATATCCCTGAACTACAGTATTTTGGGAGAGGAAAAAGTTCTTGCCCATCTTCTTTCTCCAGTCTGTGCACAACCTGATCCATGCTCTCCTCCCTCAGTCACCTTTTTCCTAACTGAGATGCTCCAGAATCTTTAGCTTTACCTTGTAGGCAAGGTGCTTCAACCCCTTAATCATCTTGGCTGCTCCATCATACAGAGACTTCCACATGCTGTGTGAACAGGAGACCAACTTTGAGATACATCATTGACATTTTGGTTACATACGTACTTTGCTAGAACTCCTTTAATCTTTTGCCTGTACTTTTAGAATTCAGTAACAGATACTAGCCAAATAATATTTTCCTAATATTCTATACCTGTCCCTTTGTGCTCACTGTGACCACATGTTTTCACAGGCTTTAGTGGCCTCGTGTTTTTCCACGTTACATTTCTGACAAATGGGGTCACCATGACTTACTCTCTCTAGTGCCAATACTTGTATTTTCCAAACCTTTCCTCCAATATTAGTTCCTTAACTTTGCATCTTCCTGGTGGTCCTGAATCTGTTTAAGAAACCCTCCTTGCTGACACTAGATAATTTTCTGTAAATCAGCAATGTAGGAAAATAATAACTGGAACTACATGAGCCTGGAAGATTAACAAGCAGGCATTTTGTCTTTGAAATGATAAACTTGGGAGTTGGTGGGGAATAACACAATTAAAATGCATACATTATGCGAGCCTAGACTCATGCAGCTTTCATGCATGTTTTTTGCCTCACAAGAAACATAAGAGCAATCAGGTCTTACCTTATGAAGGTGGTCTTCCCAGTGGAATATTGTCCCACAAGCAGGACCATGGGCTTGTTGTCAAAGTCAGCATCTTCAAGAGCAGGAGAATGAAACTCATGGAATCTGTAGTACTCTTCCAGAGGGAGCAACTTGGTTTTGTAGAGTTTTTTAAGACCCCCACTTACAGTATGAAATACTTCAGGGTCTTTTCTTCGTCTGTCATCAGTACCCAACCAGCTGAACATTTTTGTAGGCAGGGAAGAAGTGTGAGTGTTTTCTTTTCTTCGGTGAAAACTGAAAGAGAAGCGTTTAACTCAGCTTGCTCTTGGAAGGTTCCAGACTGCAGTGCTATGCTTATTGGTCGCACTCTTCCCAAAAAATATAGCACTTTATTCCTGGCTAGCGTCTCACACCACCACGGGGATGGACCAACAGAATGTATGACTCGTTCCTCCTCCCTTGAGCGTCTCCACGTTTTCTTGAGATCGGCTGCTGAGCAATGACTATTGCAAAAACAGCGCGGAGCTTGTAGGAGGGGGCAAGGCTCCCCTTCTTGCATTAAATTTCACGACAATGAAATTTTTTAGAAAATGGCTTAACGTTGAACCGATTCAGCACTTAGATCGACTTGCTTCTTTCCAGCTATAAGGCGAGAAGTGATGAGCGAATGCCTCCGAAGCATTGCTTCTTTCCAGCTATAAGGCGAGAAGCGAATACCTCCCAAGTATGTATCCTTAGCCGCAGGGAGAGGCAGCTGAATCACAGCAGCCGCATCCTCCCTCATAGAGCAGCTGGAGTTTAAATGCCAGCCTTTCAGGAAATCAACCAGGAACCGGAAAGTGCCTAACTACTGGCAACGCCCAAGCGCCGCCAGGGAGAATCATGGCCTTTGACCGGAAGTTCGGTCTACCACCGTGACGCGTTACGGTTCGTATCTCTATGGCAACGAGAAGGTGCTTTCACGGAAGAGCTGAAGTTTAACCGGGCGGCGGCATCTTGAAAGGCGGAGTCAGCTACGTCCAATAGCCGGGGAATGGCACGAATGCCTGGGTAGTCGTTCCGTGCAAACTGGTTGCTCTTGGTTTGTTTCTTGGAGAATGTTGAGGCAGTGCGCCATCTGATGGACGCAACTGGAAATTAGGAAATTAGAGTTTCCAGGAAATGTTAAAAAAAAACACTAGCCGTGTTTATTTAAACAGGAGTTCAGTGGCCTTAGCCTCCGTCACAAAAAGTTAGTCTGTAGTCTGGAGATAAGGAGTAATTCTGGGGGATCCCCAAGTCCCACCCGGAGGCCGGCATTTAAAGCAGCTATTCTCCAGTGGAACTGATCTCTAGACTGGAAATGAGCTGCAATTTGGAGAGATTTCTAGATCCCACCTGGAACCCTATGAGTTCTGTGATAGTGTGATACTTTTACACTTCAATTCTAAATGGATTTACTTATGGAATTCATTCCACTGGGGTGTAGTGATGGCTGCTAGTTTAGTTGGCTTTTAAAAGAAGACATATTCAGGAAGAAGGGTTATCAGTGGCAGCCACAGAGGCTAAGTAAAGCCTCCATTTTCAGAAGCAATAATGTTGTGTATTCACTCCACCTAAACCTATGTTAAGTTTAAGACCTCAGCTGGATTCTAAGCTGAAACAACACCATTGGCTAAAGAATGTTATGTAACCAATGAAATGTAAGAGTCTGTGCTGAAGGGAAGACAAATGATTGGATGTTATCTTTACAATGTGATTGGATGTTAACTATGAGAGGGCGTGGCTACCCCAACTCTGGAGAGTTTAAAAGGAGCTGTGCTCCACTGTTGTTTTGTGGTGTGTTATCAGATGTTGTGTGATCTTGGAAGTTCTCTTTCTTTAATAAAGCTGAATCACTTATTACTTACTTCGTTGTTGAGTTGCATACTTAACAAATAACTCTCTGAATACCAGAGCAAAGGGCCAAAGATAGGGAGAGGCTTGGGCCTTCCAGCCCACCTTGAATACCTTCCAAGGGTGTTGCGTACTGGGTTCGACGCGTAGAGAAGACAGACGCTCAGTGATTAACAACTCATAGTTTACTGGTACACAACACACAATACAGGTCGGGGTGGCCAACTATATACAGTCCCGGGGGGTACACCCACCAGTCCCAATGGAAGGTTTGAACTTCCCACCACAGTTCTGATAGGTGCTAACTGGGAGGCTCAGGATCCTAGTCCCTATTGTTATTACGGAGCAAAGCTCGGGTTGCATACTGCTGGCGCCTAGTGGCTGTCAGCGGACATAACACCCCTCCCCTGTAGTATGAGCCCAGCCTAGGTGACGTAGTCTTTGAGATAGGCTGGGGGCCAGTGCTCTCCCGTGGAATGCCTTGGAGCAGGAACCAGGGCGTCGGAAACCCTAGCTGGTGGAGTTACCGGTGCGCTCGGCTGCAGTGGTGGAGGAGCCTCTTCCGGCGCTGGGGCGGAGGCAGGCGGCCCGTTGTCCGGCTGTGTCCCAGGGACGGGAGCCTGCTCCTGCAAACTGCCATCGGCGGTTTCGCGGTTGGGGCTGTCTGGCAGGTCTGCGTCATGGTGTCAGCTATGCTGCCATGAAGGTTGGGGAGTTTGGTCTGTATCTGGTTAATTGCTATTGCTTTCCTTTCAGGTTAATTGCTACTGCATTCCTTTCTGTGCTTTCTCTGCTGTGCGCCGAAATGCTTATCTATACAGATGTGCAGAAGTGTTGTGGTGTCTGGGTTTCCCCTAGGTGTCGTGGGAGAGTGTTCGTTCTCAGCTTCAGCTACCTAACGGTCTCTAAGCTTTATCCCGCGTGCGGGAGGGTGCCTAATTGGTCAGTGCTGTGTGTGTGGGGGGGTGCATACAAATACCCTATATCCTATTATGCCCATGGAGCCACTGCTATTCTTAACAGTGCCTATGTTACTGCATCTATAGCTCTGCAATAAAAGTATAGCCGCTCCTGAATGCGTGTACTTCGTTGTTGGCTGTGGGTTCTGACACATGGTTACCTGGAGCAGGAGCATTCTCCGAAGCTGGGAGCAGATGCCGTCTCATCTGGTCGACATGCTGCCGCAGGACCTGGCCGTCTTCCATGGAAACCTCATAGGACATGGGACCTGTGGTGCGGAGTATTCGGCCAGCTAGCCATGGGGAGCCCTTGCTGTAGTTCTGGATGTATACTGTGTCCAGGGCGCCTCCCTCTGTTCGGACAGACTGCGCGACTCTGGGGCCCTATCGAGATGTAGTCTGTCCAAGAGAATTGCGGGCCACTGGCCCATCAGGAGTTTTGCCGGGCAGCAGCTGTTGACTGGGTTGGGAGTGGTCTGTTGTGCCAAGAGGAAATGGACCAGATGGAACTCCCAGTCCCCCCCATCAGGCGGCTAAGGGCTTATTTAGCACCTTCTGTTCTACGTGCCCATTGGTGCCCATTCCACGGTGCACACCATCTGTTCCACCTGCCCATTGGTGTTGGGGTAGAATGGGGCAGACCTCACGTGCCTGATCAGGTTGCTGCGGAGGAACTCCTGGAACTCTTTGGATGTGAATGCCGACCCGTTGTCCGAGACGATGGTGTTGGGCAGCCCGTGGGTCATGAAGATCCTACGAAGGGCCCAGATGGTGGCCTTGGAGGAGGTGGCTGAGACGGGGCTTATCTCCAGCCACTTCGAGTAGGAGTTGACCAGAAATAGCAGTCCGTGAAATGGTCTGGCGAAATCGATGTGGAGCCTTGACCATGATGTTCTGGTGGACTCCCAAGATTGTGTGGATGCACTTGGCGGAGACGGCCAGACGGCTTGGCACATTCACCCAAGCCTCCGCTTCCGCATCAATTCCCAGCCACCATACATAACTCCTGGCCAGGGCCTTCATGCGGATGATCCCTGGGTGGGCTTCGTGCAGGGCTTTTAGGACTTGGTTACGCAGGGTGCTGGGTACTACCACTCTGTCCCCCCACAGTGGGCATCCCTTATGTGCGGACTTGTCCCTGCGCATTGTGTAGGCTGCGAACTCAGGGCCCACTGCAGCCGCGGGCCACTCCCTCACCACCCAGCCCAGAACTCAGGAGAGGATTGGGTCCCTGGCTGAGCGGCAAGCAATGTCCCTGGCCTGAAGGGGAGACTCGGGGAGGTCCTTGATTTGCATGACATGGTGTGCCAGAGCTGGGTCAGCCTCAACGGACGATAGGGGTAGGTGGCTAAGGGCGTCGGCATGACCCATAGCCTTCCCAGGGTGGTGTATGAGGTCATAGTTGTAGCTAAACAGAAAAATGGACCACCAGAGGACCCACAGTGAGGACCTGTGGCGTCTGCCAGTCTGCGGCGAAGAGGCTGAGAAGCAGGCAATGGTCCGTGGCAATGGTGAAGGGTCGGCCATAGACGAAGTTGTGGAACTTCTATATGCCCGCCATGATAGTGAGACCATCGCGGTCAATCTTGGTGTAGTTCCACTCCGCCGCCGACTGTGTCTGGGAGTAGTATGCGACGGGCACCTCTCGCCTGTCCGGGAGCCAGTGGGCCAACACAGCACCCACACCGTAGGGGGAAGCGTCGCAGGCCAGAACCACCGGCAAGGATTCATCAAAATACGCCAGGACTTTATTAGAGGCAGGCAGCACTTTGACACCCTTGAATGCAGCAGCCTGGTGGGGGCCCCAAGACCAGTGGGCCTGCTTGTCCAGGAGGTGGTGCAAGGGTTTTACAACCGACGTCTTGTGGGGGAGAAAGGCATGATAGAAGTTCAAGAGCCCCAGGAATGC